TAAAACCCCCAAAGGAACAAAACCCCCAAAGGAATAAAACCCAAAGGAATAAAACCCCCCAGGAATAAACCCCCCAGGAATAACCCCCGTGGCTGCCCCGACCTTTGTGGAACCAGCGGTACTCGAAGCAGTAGAGCGAGTAGAGCAGCGCCATGTGCAGGAGGCTGCCCAGCTGCCCCACCAGCTCGATGGGGAACAGGCTGACCACCATCCCCTGGGGACAGAGAGAGCGTGAGCGCGGCGCCCAGCGCGGCCCCTCCCCAGGCACCGGCACTGGTGACTGCCGGGGTGGTGGCGGCACCTGGATGAGGAAGAGCGCCTGCAGCAGCAGGTTGAACAGCATGTCGGCGATGATCTTGCTGACGCTGGGGAAGGGGTGAGGCTTGCGGCCAGAGACCTCGAACGCCAGGTCAGCGATGTCCTGCAGTGGGAATTGAATAGAGGGGGAAACTTGAAATCAAGGGGAAAAGGGAGAAAAAAGGGGGAAAAAGGAAGAAAAAAGGGGAAAAAGGAAGAAAAAAGGGGAAAAAGGAAGAAAAAGGGGAAAAAGAAGGAAAAGGGGAAAAAGAAGGAAAAAGGGAACAAAAATACGAAAAAAGGGGACAAAAATAAGGAAAAAGGAACAAAAATAAGGAAAAAGGGTTTGAAAGAAGGGAAATTTGAAAGAGAACGGGGAGCTTGAGGAAAATTCAATTTTAAATGCGAAAATTCGCTGGGATGACGTCACCGAGCCGCTTTTGCCCGCCGGGAAAAACACCCAGAGCTGCTTTTAGTGCTGCGATTCCACCCCCAGCAGCTCATTTCCAGGATGGAATTTCATCCTTGGAGCATTAGTGAGGAAATTTCCTGGTCCCCCACCTGGAACCAGATGGCGTTGACCACCTTGCTGAGCACGAAGAGGGGAAGGACCCAGAGGGCGCTGAAGATGGAGGTGAGGAGGAATTCCAGCCACGCCCAGACGTCGCCGTGCAAGGAAGGGTCACCTGGGGGGAAAGAGAAGGAAAAAAGGTTCTGAGGGGTCAGAAACTCTTCGTTTCACATCAAAAAATATTTCCTTCTCCTGAGCGTAGCGCTGGAGGAGAGGAGAAACCTCCCCTCCCCGACTTTTAATCTTTAAAATAAAGAAAAATCATAATAAATTGGATTTTTAACGCTTTGAACAAGGGGACAAAGATTTGGCACAAACTTACCGATGATCTGCGCCGTGACGGACTGGAGGACGGGTATAAATACACGGTAAAACAAGAAGAGACTAAGCTGAAAGGGGGGAAAAAACAACAACAAAATAGGCTTTTGGTGAGGAGTTGCACGGGAATTTCTTGTGATTCTGGGAATTATTGATCTGAAGATCCTCAGTAAATACAGAGGAACGAGGATCTCCGTTTAAAAGCTGAAAAAATCTAGAATTAAGATTATTTTAATATTTATTTACATTAAATATAAGCATCTAATATTAAAATATTATTA